CGCCCGCTCCATTATTTTTCTAGAAAAATCCGTTAACCAAGAAATTAAATTGGTGTGGCCTTACTACGTCAGTGTACTGGTATTCGGTTCAATGGGAGCAGTACTTAACAATTGTTTGCTGAATGCAAATCAAACAGTGCAGGTGCCTGTTATATTTGCTGGCCCATGATGTCATTATGAGTAACCAATTTCCTAGTATTGATGAATAACATTACCGGTAAGCTGAAAATAAATTTGCTTTAAGCCTTTTTCATAACAAGCAGCACGTCAGCAGAACGTATTGCGCCAGTGCAAAACCCTGATTTTTCAGTTTTCACTGGATGTTTGGTCAATGTTGCATGAGAATTTTGCCAGTTGCAGACAATTCATAAGTATTTGTTTCATTTGGAAGCTACAGATGGGATGTTAACCTTATATGCGTGAATAGGACCTTAGGCCATGTTGATTTGATTATATGGATGACATCCTCTGGGAACCCCAAAACTGATGCGCGCGTGCGAATAAAAAAAAAGTTTTGCAAAAAAAAAAATTGCTTTCACTATGAAATCTACGTGGTCGTGGCCAAGGTTGAACAAATGGCACACAATATGTTATGGCGAATAATCTGCTCTTCAAATTCATTTCTTTACATTTTTGTCTTTTTTCCTTTGATTTTGGCATTCTACAACATTGGTATCGTTTCTAAATGTTTTCCTTGCAACTTATGGTATATTTTTGCTCATTTAGCAACTGTTTTGCACGATTTACAGTATGGTTGAAAACTTTTTTTTTTTTGGAAACGGCCGAAAATTCATGCGCGCGCGGATGTCATCCATATAATCAAATCAACATGGCCTTATATGAGACATTCTGCCGAAGTGCTATGTAGTATGTACTATATACATATGCATATACAATCATGTAGTACATGTACTGGTTTTGTGCAGGTGCAGTACGTTCTGCCGACATGCTAGAAGTAGAACAAGTGACCCAGTATTTGGTCACTGCTTGACTCCAGAGGTGGGTCAAAACTCACCAAAACACATCTACCTTTTTTTGGAGGTTGATTGCATTGATTTAAGCTACAACTACACATGTACTATTCATGCTGTTTGAGGTAGTTTAAGTGATATACTGTTTTATAACATTAACTTTGACTAACCTGCAACTTATGTTTAGATAGCTTGTAGTTTAGCAATTTGTACATTTTGTACATTCAGGCCACACCAATTTAATTTGTTGGTTCTCGGATTTTTTCAGAAAAAATATGAAGCGACAGGACGAAAAATAAAATAAAACAGGTCTTGGCATCCTATTATAGGCTTAAATGCTACGAAATGAGCCATGAAGTCAACACAAAAGGCTGGGTTGAAATTTAAACATTGAATTTTGAACTTTTAATCAAACCACTGCAATGATAGATGCGAAAACTGTAACAACTAGGAAGAAAAGGACTTTCCTCAACTGTTGGGGGGCGAAAAACAATGAGCATTTTTCTAGTTGATTCAGAACCAGAATCATATTTTTTTTGTTTGGCAAATCAGAAAAAAACGAAGAGGCGAATCCGAGAACCAACAAATTAAATTGGTGTGGCCTTACCTCTGTTATATTAACTTTCCAGCTTTACAGTAGTTAGCCATGCCTGTTTGACTTCTTGGTTCTTGTTTTTTACCACATGTATAATTATTCCTGTATTTGAAGTTTCTACAGATTTTTGTACATGGGTATTACATTTACACTTACAGAATACCTGTTTTATTTTTATTTCGCATGCAGAAAAATTCAAGAACCAAAAATTGTGGCCAGACCACCAAATACATGTGTAGTGAATATCTATTATAGTATTAATACGGTTTAAAATTGTGACAGCTGTCTTAATTATTATAAAAGCTATGTAACAAATAGAATTGTTTCTTGAATGTGACTAAAAGTTTCTTTGCTTTCCTTTCTTCTTTTTTTGTTTTTATTTTTATTTTATTTTTTTGTCCTTCATGTTCAGGCTTTCCCACTAGTTCAGAGGAGTACATGCATGTATGTGAGGCCCACGAAGGAAAACCATGGAAACCCAGGGTAAACAAACAAACAAACAAGCAAATAAACAAATAACAAATGTGTCTCGCTGCTTTTAATCAACCAGTGATGTGAATTCTTCAAGCAGTAAAACTAATAAAATAATAATTATTTTTTGTATGCTGTCATATTTTCACAGTTTAACACACACAATTGTCACTGTTTTTATCATTATACATACATGTAATTTGCATATAGTAGTGACACACTCACAAAAAAATATGCTGGCATTTCATACACAGCTTGCTTTTTTTCTACATTTCTGTGCTTACTGTGTGCATTCATTGTAAGGTATAATTCTAAACTACAAGCTTTGAACGTTTGAGTCCATATAACAATCTGTTTTGGAAAATAACACATTGCATTGTCTTTATGATTAATACACTCAATGTGGCATTGTCTTTTTTTCAGTGCATGATACAAGTAAGTAAAATTATACAGTTAATGAAAATCAACAACACTATATGTGAATACATGTAAGTCTATAGGCCATTCACCAATATACATTGTATCTATTACTAGTAGATATTTCCTTGGTGCTAACTTTTCAGACTTCTAAAATGTTAGCAAGACCAAGAAAAAAAAAGTTGTGTTTCCTGTTTCAGTCCTTAAAACTTAGGATAAGGGATAAGCTTTTTTTGTTTTCTTTTTTTATTTGACTTTGGCAATCTGTAGTGATTCAACTTATACAAAACTTGCATGAGGATAATAAATTTTTATATATTATATTTTCAATATAAATGTTGGAAACCCAAATTCTTCACTCAGGTGTCAGATTGTGGAGCTACCGGGTACCCGGTTAACTATAACGCGAATGGTACTGTAGAAAAGGTTGATCAGCTCCAAAAAATTTGTGTCCCTTGCAGGGGACCACACAAAAAAAGGCCAAAGTCGGCAGTTTTTTCTAGGGTCAGTCGGGAAACAGGAAACACAACTTTTTTTTCCTAGGCCTAATTTAGAACCTCTGTAATTTACTGCCGACGTTTGCGAGTGTCAACGTTTTTTTTGTCAGTCTCTATCACATCCCATGATCCTTTGCAACCATGAATGCACAATACAGCCTACAGAAGGTGAAAAAGCTATCCCAGGATGCCGTTGGGTAGGAAAAGTTGCGTACGCGGCGTTTAGACTGTTGGTTTGGTTCCAGGTGGTCTGTCTGGCGCGGGAAATGCGTCGTTGTCCGCCGCTGCAGCCCACGTCAGCGCCCAGGCCCGCTCCTCGCCGATTCCCGAGGTGCTGATCCCGCCCGCCGTCAGACTGTCGCGCCGATCGTCCTCACCTGTCCCACGATCCTCCTCACCCGCTAACAGATCTGGTACCGACAGGGGGAGGGAGGGATTGAAGGAAGGGATGGATTGATGGATAGAAGGAATGATGGATGGATGGAAGATAAAGGATGGAAAGAAATGAAAGAAGGAATGGAAGAATGGAAAGAAGTAATGAATGCATGGATGAAGGAAAGAAGGAAAGAATAAATGAAGAGAAGGAAGAAGGAATAGATAGATGCAAGAAGGAAGAGATGGAATGCATGCATGAATGGGGATAGATGATGGAAGGATGGATGAAGAGAAGGGAAAAGGAATTGATGGAGGAAAGCGGATGGATGGATGAAGAGAAGGAAGGAAATTCAATGGACAGATGGAGGAAAATGGAGGGATGGAATGAATAGAAGGAAATAATGGAAAGAAGGAACGAATTGATAGATTAAAGGGATGTATGAAGGAAAGAAGGCAGGAATGAATGGAAAGAAGGAAGGAATGGATAGAAATATGTAATGGAAAGAGGGAAGGAATGGATGAAGGAAAGAAAGCAGGAATGGATGGAAGGAAGGAATAATGAATGGAAGGAAGTAATGGATGGAAAGAAGGAAGGAATGGACGGATGTAGGAGGAAAGAAGGAATGAAAGAATTGATGAATTCGTGAATAGGTATATGCATAATAGAAGAATGTACATTGTAGTATTCAAAATATTGGAATAGTTTTTACTTGAATGTCCCATTTACTTGTCCCATGTTGTGAGTGAATGTAATTGTAAAGTAAACAAAGTTTCAGATGTCTTTAGAAAGACCAAACCATGTTTCTGTTCCCTATACATTATGTCTAACCCCTGGTTGTTTAATAGATGGATGTAGGAGGAAGGAATGAAAGAATTGATAAATTCATGGATAAATGTATGCATAATGGAAGAATGTACGTTTGGAACGTACCATGTTAACATGTGAGTGAATGTAATTGTAAAGTAAACAAAGTATCCCATGTCTTTAGAAAGACCAAACCATGTTACTGTTCCCTACATTATGTCTAACGCTCGCTGTTCCCGCCAGGATTACGGGGCTTGTTACCATGGAGACGTGAGAACAGGCCTCGGAGTGGCAGCGACCCCAACAGCCGCGATCTCATGCTCCGGCCCGCTTCGCCCCACCCAGACACCACCACGGTCGCCAAGCCGCGCGCCCGATCCCGTAGTCGCAGTCCAGCCGCCAGGATATTACAGCAGCAGAGAGGCAGACAGACAGACATGTGGGTGGCAGTTCTGATGTTAGAATTGTAAATAGTGATTGTAGGGATTTGCAAAAGTGGTGCTACTGTAATGGAAATGAAAAGAAACCTACTGTTAGTAGTATGGTGACTGCAGGCCTCGAAAATTAACTTTTCTTCCTATTGTCCCAGAACTGTCCGAAAATAGATTTCAATTGTCCCGAAGGAGGATGAACTGTCCTAACCTGTTTTTTGCGAAGTATTGTATGACTTCAACTTGAAGTGAATTTTTTTCTATTGTCCCAAAAATATTCCAAAGTGTCTTTTTACTTGTCCCAGTCTAATGTGGTTCATATTAGGTCCCCACGTGTTTTGTCTCATTGATAGATTTGGCCTACTAGTAACTGTAATTCTCCCTAAATCTCTAAGCAGATAGTCTGGTGATTAGTGTACACTCAGTCTATCATTCTATCATTCTTGGCCAGCAATTAAGATTTTACCACAGTAAGATCTACTTATAACAGATAAATTCTTCTATATCTGCTCCAATACTCTTAGTAATACAGTTATTAGCTGTAATCATCTAACGTATTGTTCAATGTCCCCACCCCCCCTCCAGGCATCGTGGAGAGAGTCACAGTGTGGCTGCCCTGCCGCGCTCGCGCAGTCCAGCGGTACACGACCACGGGAGCACGGCGGGCGCTGAACTGCTGGCACGGCCTCGCGCCGTCAGCACAACGTCCAGTCTCAGCGACGAACCATTGGTTCTACCAGAGGCGGAGGTACGTTGTTTGCGTTTTGTATTGTAGTAACGCTTAGGAAAAAAATGTTGTGTTTCCTGTTTCAGTCCTGAAAACAATAGGGTCGGTAGGTAGGAATTATCTTTTCTTTTGAGTGTCAGACATCCAGAAAATAATATACAACGTAAGCCATAAAACAGTTACTCAAGGAACTGGATATGATTTTGGGAATGAATAATCCAGTTGCTTGAGTAACTGTTTTGATGTTTACCAAAGGAAAACATATATTGTTTTTGCACCGTTTCTTCTTCTTCTTCCGTTCCAAACACTGACCTCTAACCTGGTCAATTACCAGACTGTCTCTCACCATGGTAACTGGTGTCTGGTTACATAATGTTGAAATTTTATAGTAGGAGGGATGTAGACTCCTGTCTGACCATACAAATGAATGTATTTGAGTAAGAATTAACAGAGCAGAACATGTTCGAAAGTAAACATTATGCATTTGCTTTGCAAATGTTACCTTTCTAGTTTAGTGTATCTTTTTTTTTCCTTTTATTAGACTCTGGCAATCTCTAGTGATCCAACTTATATGTAATACAGTTTAACAAACTAGGAAAACTTGTGGACGGTTGTATCTTGTAAAGTTTGAATTCACAATGTTTTTAAAAGTCTTAGAGTAGTTTTTATCATATAATTGTATACTTCTGTATTTATGTAACAATTATAAACTGTGTACTAGATAACTATATACAGGTTATAGAGGCTTTTTTTTTCATTAGATGATAACTGCTCTTTTTTAATAACAATCCAGGGTTCAGAAAGACTAGCTACTGCGGAGTATTCGACGGCCACCATGTCTTCCCAGGGTTCCCAGGGAGCGGATTCGCTGCCAGGAGACGACATTGACGGCGCGACCAGCACCGACCCCACACGCGTCAAGGCAGCCATCGAAAACCTACAACACAAGATCGAGAAAACTACAGAACAGATCAAACAGGAACAGAAGGCTCGAGATGGTAACTGTTCATACATATCTACAAACTTTACGGTAGTAAACATACATTAACTATATAGTATGCGCGTTCGGCTCACACTCCAGAGGTCGTGGGTTCGAACCCCACCTTGTCACCGATCTTGTGCCCTTGGGAAAGGCACTTTACACGACTTTCCTCACTTCACTCAGGTGGAAATGAGTACCTAGCTTCGGCTAGGGACGTCCCTCGGATAGGACGTTAAATGGAGGTCCCGTGTTTGGGGAGAGCCACACCCCACGCACGTTAAAGATCCCACCACACCTTTCGAAAAAGAGTAGGGGCATGCCCCGGTGTGCGATGGTACAAACACTACTGTATGGAGTTGGTGATTCACTTCAAATCACCCGAATAGAGGCCTGGCGAACCTCTGTTCCGTATCAGCCACATGGTGATTACATCACCACACATGGTGATTACATCATCACCCGGACGGAGGCGTGGCGAACCCCGTCTTGTATTAAGCTAACGAAAGGGTATGCCACCTCGTAAGGGGCGGTATAACCCCGACCGAATACGGTCGACCGATGATGATGATGATTAACTATATTGTCTATGGATAAAGCAACATTTTGATGAGTTCAATTTATCGTGTACTAAGGCTTGTGCATTCTTTATATGGAAAGAAATTCAATATATGATGCTATCATGTATTTTTGTGTGTGTGTGTGTCTGTGTGTCTGTGTGTCTCTGTGTGTGTGTGTGTGTGTGTGTGTTTGTATGTGTGTGTGTGTGTGTGTGTGTGTGTGGAACTGGAAGGGTTCCGAAGTACATGTACTAGTAGTACGGAGAAGGGGGTGAAGTCTGCCACCGAATATTGCCACCGTTTCAGTTATTATAAAATGTTGACGTCACTCTGCCTGAAAGTTAGAGTATAAGTTATACAATGTAACATTTGCCAATGCAACCCACTGCAGTACCATAGGAAAAAGCCAGGTGAACCATTTTTGAGCTTGACCTTTGTTTTCACAACTGCTACCCACCTACTAAATATCATTAAGATCCATCTACAGGTTCTTGAGTTATGCTGTACACACATATACATACAGTTGTACAAAGCCTGCTGCAGCACACGCAGACCCACACCAAAACAACTTCATGGCATAGCCAAAAAATAACCTTGTGGAAGGTAATAAACAAATTAAAAGTGTACCGTTTTATCCACAGAGCATGTATCAGAGTACCTGAAGCTGGCGGCAAACGCCGACCGCCAACAGGCCGCTCGCATCAAGAGTGTGTTCGAGAAGAAGAACCAGAAATCAGCCACCAACATCCAACAGCTGCAGCGGAAACTGGAGAACTACCAGCGCCGGCTGAAAGAGGCGCAGGAAAACGGCGTGGTCGCTCACCGACAACCCAAGGAAGTACTCAGAGACATGGGACAGGGGCTCAGGTAAGAACTAGTAGGAAGTTACTAGGAACTAAATGCCTCCACCCCTGAGGTGTCACCAAAAATATTATTATGATTTATTGTGTTAAATTAAAGAGGTGCAGGAAAACGGCGTGGTCGCTTACTGACAACACAAGGAAGTACTCAGGGATATGGGACGGGCTCAGGTAAGGACAAGTAGGAACTAAATGCCTTCACCCCTGAGGCGTTGCCAAAAATGTTATGTTTACTGAAGAAAAACATCTTGTTTTTGCTCTGTTTCTTCTTACTCTTCCTCTTCAAACAGTGACCTCGATGACCTAAGCCAATGTTGTGTCTGTTACCATGGTAACTAGTGTTGGGTTACATCATGTTGCAATTTCATAGCAGGAAGGATTTAGACTCCTGTTTGATCATATATGTGAATGTGTTTGAGTAAGAATTAACAGAGCAAATGTTGCCTTTCTAGTTGTTGTGGATTATTTTGTTTGTTGTGTTAATGTTGTTTTTGTGGTTTGTATAATTCTTGATCTGTGTCCTGTTGCTTACACCGGCGTTCTTTTAACACAGAGATGTTGGTGCAAATATACGAGATGGAATAACAGGTTTCTCAGGGTGAGTTTATTGTTTTACAATATTAATTTACACAACTGACTAACACATAATTATTGTGTTGAACTTCATAGAATAACAATTAAAGTTTGAACATTTTAAGACCAACATGTTAGAAGAGCTAAATTTTTACTTGGGCCACACCAATTTAATTTATTGGTTCTCGGATTCGCCTCTTCGTTTTTTTCTGATTTGCAAAAAAAAATTTGATTTTGGTCCTGAATCTACTGAAAAATGCTCATGTTTTGCCCCGGCCCAACAGTTGAGGGAAGTCCTTTTCTTCCTAGTTGTTACAGTTTTCCCATCTATCATTGCAGTGGTTTGATTAAAAGTTCAAAATTCAATGTTTAAATTTTAACCCAGCCTTTTGTGTTGTGTTCATGGCTCATTTTGTAGCATTTAAGCCTATGATAGGATGCCTAGACCTGTTTTTATTTTTATTTTTTTTCGCCCTGTTGCTTCATATTTTTTCTGAAAAAATCCGAGAACCAACAAATTAAATTGGTGTGGCCTTGTTACTTGTTTTCATGGTATCTTTCTAGATGGTCTTGATACATGATATTTCTACCTAATATAGTATATTGTGTCAAGATTTAATTAAAGTACTAAAATTATGTTGTGTTAAACTTTGAATTTTTTTATTGCTAATAATAGTAAACTTAATATATACAGTACTGATACATGTACATGTATGTAGAGAACCTTGTATGTTAGACAGCATGAGTTGATATTAATTTTCCCAAAGGCATAGTATTTGAGCATGGAAAATATTCTAGTTGGTAGTTGAAGTTGCGGAGTGATAACAATCGACTGTTGATAATTATACTTGTATGTTCGTAATTGTGTTGAAAATTATGTACATGTATCTTGGGCTAGAAAAGTTCTATGAATACTATGTGTAACTATTTTTCTAAAGCCCCCCTCTTTAAATTGCCTTTTTCATATTCAATTTCACATTCCTGTAATTTCTTGTAACATAATTTTGATTTCTACACAGTCTTGATGCACCCCCTCTGTATCATTCTGCCATCTAGAAATGCTATAATTATAGTGTGTTCTCCAGGACCTTTTGAATATCAGACTGTCCTACGTCATAGACAGTTTGTTTTGAATTGTGAATATGTCTAAAATAAGTCTTCGTCCCCAGCTACATATATTGTATGGTTCTTATGGTGAGGATAACATATAACATGACAGTCTTCATAAGAATTAGGGCCAAGCTGTCTGTTAGGCCATGTTGATTTGATTATATGGATGACATCCTCCGGGAGCCCCAAAACTGATGCGCGCGTGCGAATAAAAAAAAGTTTTGCAAAAAAAAAGTTCTTTTCATTATGAAATCTACGTGGTCATGAGGGTTGAGCAAATGGCACAGAATATGGTTTGGCGAATAATCTAGTCTTCAAGTTCATTTCTTTACAATTTCGTCTTTTTTCGTTCGATTTTGGCATTCTACGACATTGGTATAGTTTTTATTAATTTTTTTTGTAACTTATGGTATATTTTTGCTCATTTTGCAACTGTTTTGTACGATATACAGTATGGTTGAAAACTTTTTTTTTTGGGAAACGGCCGAAAATCCATGCGCGCGCGGATGTCATCCATATAATCAAATCAACATGGCCTTATTAGGGATTTAGGACTTAATTTTCCTCCTAATCTTTGGATTTAAGCACTGACCTCTATGGCAGATTAGCCACATTGTTCTGTACTTTGTTGTCCTAAGCTACTGTTGCCAAGTAACATGGCAGCATAACAACACATTTTAAAGAAAGATAACTACCATTGATTTTGATACATTAGAATTAGAGCAGAAACAAATGAATGTATTAATGCACAGTAAACATAAAAAATAAATTGGAAATTTAAACATTTAACAAATAATATTATTTTGAATAGACAGAATAGTACAATGTAGTATACAGTAACATCCATTCCCCTAACACTTTTGATAAATCAAAATCTTAACTGTAAAATCAAAAATACTAGGTCTTAAAGATCTCATGAGATTTTTCTCATGAAAGATTTAAAAGAATTCTATTTTTGTGAGTTGGTCAATTTTGAAAAAAATGAATTCTAAATAATCTTTGCTCTTTTATAGTGCTTTATATGTAGACTTGCATCCTGGGTTGCTTAGTTGGATCACCTAGAATTATTCCTAACATCACAAAAGTGTGAAATAATTTTGCTTGAACTTGAAGTATCATTCACATTTTTCATCTCCTACATTGCTCATTTCAAGTCACGAATCAAATAATCAGTATGCACATGTTTGGTGTATGATTTCTTCATAATTTGTGGATTTTTCTAGTTTTGGCTTCTTCACATTGCACGTTCTTGGCATGGCCTTCTGACCCCCCCCCCACTGCTTTTGGGATCTCCTCTCCTGACAACTTGTCCCTTAAAAACTATATGACACCAATAACACTGAAATACATTCAGTAAGTTCCTGAAAATAGTCAAACATGATAGGTATTATTCAATGATCAAACATAGTGGTGTCTGTGTGGTGTAGTGGATAGAGCGTCCGACTGTCAAGCAAGAAGACCCAGGTTCAATCCCCAGGGTTGGACCCAGACATGTCCGGACATGCACCCAGACATTGTGCCCTTGGGAAAGGCACTTAACACGCATTTCCCCCCTCAGTTTAGAGGGTTCCTGGGCCCTACTAGGGTTTGGGTTGGCGTTAGGAAGAGCATCCAGCCGTAAAAATCCTGCTTCAAAAAAAGACTTGTACTTGGTGCAAGCACGTCTAACCCCCGGTTAGGGAAAAATGACGTTAAATTCGGTTTAAAAAAAAAAAAAAACACGTTTGGACAAAAAATGTTTGTAAGCATCAAATCTTCCGAATCATCCTTCCAGTTCTTGATTTCTGTCGCCAGTTAATCCAATTAAATGCTACCAATGACGTCACAGTACGCATGGCAGCTGATTCAGAACCTGGCATCTTGCCAGAAAAATGTTCTTTTGAGAAACAAAAAAAAAATGGATTCTACCAACACTGATGAGCTTTTATTAAAAAACAAAGTAACGTTAATAACTTGAAACTTTATTCAGTAACAGTTATTGAATCTGTATTGTTTGCTTCCTAAGAGAACAATTTTTACGAGCCATGCTTATGACGTCATTTTATTGAACCATCTGGCAACCGAAATAAAAAACTGGAAGAATGATTTGCAAGATTTGATGTTTCCTAACATTAGACGAGTGCATTTTGAATAAAATATGCCCATCACGTTTGACTAATTTCAGGAACTTCAAGTTGTATTTCAGTGTTATTGGTGTTATATGGTCTTTAACACTTCTGAGCAACTTTTAAGGTTGGAAGTTTTGCCTTGCAGGAAGACAACACGGAAAGGCAGTGGAGATGAGGCAAAAGAGACCGTTAGCCGTCAAGTCTCTCTGCCCGTTAAGGCTGGATTGTTAAAAAGGTTTCTGTCTTAATTTCTTTCATTCACAGGGGTTGTGGAAAGGTTCTTTTCTTTAAAGGTTCTTTTTTCTTTGGACAAGATGGCTTCCTGGTTTACAGGTCTGACTTGTGTTGCTGAGTCGGATAATTTTGTTTGAATGCAGTTGGTTGTTTTTCATTGGCTAATGGTTTGCAACAGAGTCATTTGGTGCATTTTTTTCTTCAAGGTGCATTTCATGGTGTCTTGGTTTGCAGCTGTGTTATAATTGCACTTTTTGAAAATGCAGTTTCAGCATGTTCGTTTCTAGAATTTTCTTTAAATCTCGGTGCGTTGATGAAGGTTAGACATCCAGGTAATGAGATACACAAGGAAATTGTTACTCAAGCAACTGTATACATGTTTCCAAATCTATCCAGTTGCTTGAGTAACAATTTTCTGGCGTGATCTTGGTGATTTTTGGTGTTCACTTTTTGCTTGCTCGATTGTAGGACTGGTGACTTGGTTGTGGGAATGTTGGAATGATTATCTTTTTGCTTGAGATGGATTGTGTTTTTTAAACTTTTATAATTTAGCCAGTTACTGCATGTAATATGATCCTTTTTTCTTCCATGTTCATTCAACAATACCTTAGTTTGGCCTTTTTTGAGTTTCATCCAAAGGCATTTCTTTACCGATAAGTCTTTGTAGTCTAAAGTCAATATATAAATTGTCTCTGTAATGCATTTTGGTTTTATCTGCATGAACGTGTATGTAAATATTTTTTATACATAATTATGCCCTGATGTCATTGTTTGCACACTGTCATTTCAAAAATGATTATCATTTTTTCAAACAGCAACTTGAGTTAACATAATTTGTTTGGAGTCTACAACATGTTGCATAACTGCATGTTTTATAAGATAATTATAAATTTGTGAAATAAACTTTATCTGACAGTCTTTGCATGAAGTCATTGGACTAGGATTTGTGGACACTATTTCTTTACAGTTGATGATTGGCATGGATCCGTACTCTAACTCCAAAAGGGGTTCCTTAAAATTTGTGCAAACAATGAGGTCACAATTGTTGATTCAGGTTATTTCCTACAAAGAAAAGCCTTCTGTTCAGTTGTAGTGTTCTAGTAATTGAATAGAAGTTCTTTATTCACAACGGTTACCGCTAAATGTCATGTTTAACATGAGTGGATGTTTCAGTGAATGTCTGTCATTTTCTTAATATTTATTAATAATAATTTTTATTATAATATTTTATGGTCTTGCTAGGATAGACCTGACCAATGTGTCAGTTTCTGAGAATTTGTAACAAGATTACAAATTTTAATTTAATTATTATTTAATCATTATTAATTATTATGTTAATTTTAAAAACCAACCAATGGTTGTACCCCTTAAATCTGACCAATGGTATCAGCTTTTGAACCTGACCAATGATGTTGCTCCTAGATCTGACCAATGGCATCAGCACTTGGATCAGACCAATAATTATTGCATCAGTTCCTAGATCTGACCAATGGTATCAGCTTTTGAATCTGACCAATGATGTTGCTCCTGGATCTAACCAATGGCATCAGCCCCTGAATCTGACCAATGGCATTGTACATTAGCTTCTAGATCAAGAACCAATGGGCAATACTAAAAAAACTAATGACAAACCCCATAAAAAGGAAAAAGTGTCCACAAATCATAAAAAAATGACAGCTGCTAACTGTAACTTTTTTCCAATTCACCTTCATTTATTCAATTCTTAAGGAATTTAGTGGCTGCTCTACATGTTGAGATGTGTTATAATGATGATGGTTTACGGTACTTTGCAGGATGCCAGCATTGAAGAAACCAGATTCAAACGTTGAGGAGTCTTACAAACCAGTTACGCCTTCTTCTGAGAGAAAAAAGTCGCTAGCAAGGTCCTTCACTCCTGTACATGTACCCAGCCCAGCCGCCAAAACCAGAAAAATACTCACACTATTAAGTTTCATCTAGTCGTGCAATCGAAACTCATAAGACTGACGTTTTTTGCCTATATTTAGTATTAGAAAACCCACAGTTAAGGTTAAGTTTGGGTTTGGTGTTTGCTTGCAAAATCAACTTCAAGCTTGCTAGGGTCATTGGTATTTTGGTGATCTTACTGACTTGCATTTTCTAATTTGCTTCCAGTTTGTTTAAGGTGGTTTTAGACATTTTAGATGAGCCCTAGCCTGTTGTCTAATTTTGTTGCTTGACGTCCATACTTTAAAGAGAGATAATATAGGTTTTAAATCATTAAAAGCAGCATCTATAAAATATATCTTAAGAGTCCTTTTACATCTTATACATAAAGCCCTTTTCATGCATGCATACCAAAACAGATTATTTTCAATCTTTGAGTTAACATTGGTATGCTAATGTCACTTTGTGAAATTAAAATACCCTTGATGTAATATCTTCAATATAAAACATTACCAATTCCTGAAAAAGACAGCATCATAATGTATACAATGCATGGTTAAAAAGTTATTAGATGCTTGGCGTGCATATATCTTGTTCCTTGCCTTGGATTCCCAACAGTTCTGCAAGGTTGCTTGCCAATGGTTGTTTTTTCTTCCATACCAGGACCCCCCTCCCCCCCTTTTCCTGCAACCTGCATTTCTTCGTGCCTGCCTGCTTGGATAGAAAGGAGACACGATTCTGCGATTATCTTTACTTCATCTGAATAAAAAATCCTTTTTTTTTTTTACCTACAGGGCAGTGGTGAATAAACCCAAAGAGTTTGCTCACTTGATAAAGAATAAGTTCGGCAGTGCAGACAACATCAGTAGTATGAGTAAGTATCCTTTAGTCATTTATGGTGAATTATTAATCTAATTAACTTGTAGCTCATAAGACATACTTGTAATTGAGATCTTAAACTTCAAGCTTGTACAGTGCTTCTAGTTGATAAGTAATTTGGTTTGAAGTTGTATGATTTGTCTTTTAAGTGTCTCTTACTATACAGTGTACTATGATTGCACTTTTTATCGCTTAGGCCATGTTGATTTGATTATGTGGATGACATCCGCGCGCGCATGAATTTTCGGCCGTTTCCAATTAAAAAAAAAGTTTTCAACCATACTGTAAATCGTACAAAACAGTTGCAAAATGAGCAAAAATATACCGTAAGTTACAAAAAAATAAGTAAAAACTGTACCAATGTCGTAGAATGCCAAAATCAAACGAAAATAGACGAAATTGTAAGGAAATGAACTTGAAGATTAGATTATTCGCCAAACCATATTCTGTCCCATTTGTTCAACCCTCATGACCACGTAGATTTCACAATGAAAACAACTTTTTTTTTGCAAAACTTTTTTTTATTCGCACGCGCGCATCAGTTTTGGGGCTCCCGGAGGATGTCATCCATATTTTTAATCAAATCAACATGGCCTAACCGTAACTCTCGTGAGATCACGTTGTGAAATGATTGTTACATTAATTGTCCTGATGAAGGCAACAGTGGTCGTTGAAAATTTGATCTCTGTGTTGGAATAAAGTTTAACATTTTATGATAAGCCTGTTATGTGCTGCTTTTAATGAACTTGTTTTTGGTTGTTTCCCCACAGAAGACAGTTTAGATGAGAGAGAAGACCTCAGTAGACAGTTTCTCACACCTTCCAATATCTCAGCCATCTCAAGTGGAAGGTAACGTATTTAGTTCCTTCATCTGTACAATAGGTTAAGCTACTAGATCTAACCAATGGCATCAGCTCCTGGATCTGACCAATGGTTGTAGCCCTTAAATCTGACCAATGGCATCAGCTCCTGGATCTGACCAATGGTTGTAGCCCTTAAATCTGACCAATGGCATCAGCTGGTGGATTTTACCAATGGCATCAGCTCTTGAATCTGACCAATGATGTTGCTCCTGGATCGAACCAATGACAACTGTTCTTGCCTGTGTCTTGCAATTCTAACCAGGATTTAAAAATTCTAACAGAAATTTTAAGATATTGTTGTAACTTGATGCATTTTGCACATTTTGTAGATTGCAACCTGCCTAAAGGAACGCACCATGTCAATATGTATACTCCCTTAACAGACTAAATGAAAGTAACCACTGATCTGCCCTTGTTCCAGCCATCCCACCAGTCAGCCTGCCAGTCACCATGGTTACGGGAGCGAGGACGAGTGCTCCAGTATGACCTCGGGGTCGGGAGGTCACATGGTGCTGCACAGCCCCGAGATCCAGCCCGGCCCGTCCTCCCAGTCCATTCCAGCACAGGTGCTGCAGCCCATCCTAGAGGAGCTGCAGGACATGAGAAACAGTCAGGCACTCTTCCAGAACACCATGGCCGAGCTCAAGGTTTGTAGAATCGCATTTGCATACTAGGGACAACTTAAATGAAGCTTTTTAATCACCTCCATGTATGGAGATAATACATGTAAATACTAGAGGAGCTGCAGGAGATCAGAAACAGTCATGCACTCTTCCAGAACACCATGGCCGAATTCAAGGTTTGTGGCACCTCATTTGCATACTCGGGACAACTTAAATGAAGTTTTTTTATCACCTCCATGTGTGGAGATAATTAAATACTACAGGAGCTGCAGGAGATGAGAAACAGGCAGGCACTCTTCCAGAACACCATGGCCGAACTCAAGGTTTGTGGCACCTCATTTGCATACTCGGGACAACTTAAATGAAGTTTTTTTTATCACCTCCATGTGTGGAGATAATTAAATACTACTGGACCTGCAGGAGATGAGAAACAGTCAGGCACTCTTCCAGAACACCATGGCCGAACTCAAGGTTTGTGGCACCTCATTTGCATACTCGGGACCACTTAAATGAAGTTTTTTTATCACCTCCATGTATGGAGTTAAGGTTCCGGGTCGGAGTTTAATTCTGACCAGGGTTCTAAATAGTGCGCAGTAAATCGCCGGATCTGCGAGGTTGTCACGCTAGGTTTGGCTCCCCATAGCTCGGCGATCGCTGTAGATTTTCAACTAGGTTTTGAATTGATCAAAAAGCCTTGGGATTGTAGTGTTTTTCGGCGCGGTGAAGTTGGACGGCCAGCGAAGCGTTTTTGGTATTAGTCCGCGAGCAAGGGTGATGCGGTTTGTCGCCTGATGACCCAAATAGCTGCGTTCTATGTGGAATTTCTAGGGGTTCGCGTCACCGGATTTTGTGAAAAACTTATCGCAACAACCTATATTTT